TATTTATGAGAATTTGAGTTTTGAGATGCATATCGGCAAATCTGAAACTAAAACAAGTTTGGTGGGGAGGTAAGGATATCCAGGTGAGACCTGGGGTTTGTCATCTCAGGTATAAGAGCTAAAGGTGAGATACTAGGCAGCTCACATTTTTATTCTAGGGCCAGAGGACTGGGAGTAAGTGAAAGATTATAGCTAGGAAAAGGAATATAACAAAATAAGACAAATGTGAAAGGTGAAGTTGTAATTAAAAAAAGAGATTCTACAGAGTAGGACCTAGTTATTTTCTCCCCAGTGCATAGGAATAAACAGCCACCAGGAAGTCTTTAAATGTTCTTTTCTTTCTTTGATGCTTATATTTTCTGTATCTTGCTTTCTCTTTAGTGAGGCACCTATAGCACACAGAGAGAGACTAACCCAAGAAAGGCTAGATTTAACCTGGCAGCCCTCCAACCGCGAGGAGCAGTACACATGGTTCTTCACATGGTCCTAGAGCCACGATTAAGTCTTGAGAATTGTGCATAGTGGCTACGTAATAGTGTGTACTCATTTACATGCTAATGTGAAGGTGTCTTAGGCACTGATCACACATTCTCAAAAGGTTACATTCACACTCTTATGGTAAAGGCTATAGTCAATTCTCTCATGTCTGTGCTGAGACACAGACTAAACACAAACAAGAGGCCAAACATACTTTGTCTCCAGAAGGAATGGGTAGATGTTGGTTCTGCTCACCTACCTTCATTCATTCATTTAACTAATAAATATTTTGTATGCATCAGCTGGGCATAAGAAGATGGATAAAGTAGAGGCTTTTTTAAAAAACAGTTTTGCTTTTGTTGCCCATGCTGAAGTGCAATGGTGCAGTCTCAGCTCACTGCAACCTCTGCCTCTCCAGTTTAAGCAATTCTGTCTCCAGTCTCCTGAGTAGGTGGGATTACAGGCACATGCCACGATGCCTGGGTAATTTTTGTATTTTTAGTAGAGATGGGGTTTCATCATATTGGTCAGGCTGGTCTCAAACTCCTGACTTCAGGTGATCTGCCCACCTTGGCCTCTCAAAGTGCTGGGATTGCAGGTGTGAGCCACCATGCGTGGCCAAGTAGAGTTTTAATGAAAGGGGAAATGAATTAAAAATGGGACCAGGCCGGGCGCGGTGGCTCACGCCTGTAATCCCAGCACTTTGGGTGGCCGAGGTGGGTGGATCACGAGGTCAAGAGATCGAGACCATCCTGGTCAACATGGGAAACCCCGTCTCTACTAGAAACTACAAAAAATTAGCTGGGCATGGTGGCACGTGCCTGTAATCCCCGCTACTCAGGAGGCTGAGGCAGGAGAATTGCATGAACCTAGGAGGCGGAGGTTGCGGTGAGCCGAGATCGCGCCATTGCACTCCAGCCTGGGTAACAAGAGTGAAACTCTGTCTCAAAAAAAAAAAAAAAAAAAAAAAAATGGGACCAAAGATTACTTCTGTGTCTCTAGTTGGCAATACTTCCATCTCAGAAGAAACTCTGCTTCTCACTAGTCTTTTGAAAGGTACTCATTTGCCTGGGTCTTTATGGGCTGCAGCTGGATGACTAAGGGTGCCTTTGATGCCCTCAAAAGTAATTTTCCTTCAAGATTATATTATTTTAATGGAGATAGGCTGGACCTTGAATCAGTAGGTTTCTGTACAAATAATGAGAATAAGAGCTAAATCCTTAGAGATTTTCAGGCCATAGAAAAATCAGTGTTTTGTTAGACCATTCAAGGGCTACAAGGGTGATTTTTTTTTTTTTTTTTTTTTTTTTTTTTTTTTTTTTT